AGCCCCATCTTTCTCCCAGGGAGTAGTTGGGGGGATCCTGTCAACCTTTTGATTAGCAGCCCAGCGCTTTAACCCCCTGCGCCACTACAGCTCCCGTTACAATTCATTATAGATATAAATCATTCATCTTTTACGTTATTTAAAAAAATTATTTTACCCGGGGCTCGTACAGCTCTTATCACCATCCATCCATCCATCCATCCATCCATCCATCCATCCATCCATCCATCCATCCATGTGTAAGACAGGGTTGAATGGTCCCTGGGAGTTTAGGAGGCTGGCACTGTTCCTGGGTGTTAAAGCAAGCACCCTCTTTCTCCTGAGGAACAGCTGGCCTTATGGTCAGCAGGCCGATATGTAACTGCTATGACAGCAGCCCCCACCCGACAACTACATAATACATTCCAAAACAGCTCACTGTCTCCGGTGGATTCCAACCCCTCCTGTTATCTATTAGCTGCCATCGAGTCAGGTCAGACTCACCCTAAGCCCCGTCCGTGTACCATTGGATGTACTCACTGCCCGGTCCTGCCCCGTCCTCGCCATTGCCCTAGTGTGCGCGCCCATTGCTGCAGCCACAGTGTCTGCCCCTGCTGTCGAGGACCTTCCAGTTGCTCCCCGGCCGCTCTGCTTTACTAAGCAGGCTGGCCTTCTCCAGGGATCGGTCTCTTCGGATACCATGTCCAAAGTACGTGAGACCAGGTCTGGCTCTCCTGGATTTTAAGGAGCATTCTGGCTGTACGTTCTGCAGGACCGATTTGTTTGCTTCTCCAGCACTCCATGGTGCCTTCAAGACCCTCATCCAGCCCCACAATGCAAGCGCATCCCTCCCTCTTCAGTGTTCCTTGTTCACGGTCCGTCTGCCTTCCACAGGCATGTGAAACACCATGCACAGCTTGGGTCAAGCACACGTTAGTGCTCAAAGGACCAAGGGATTTCTGAGGCTGTAAAATATATCTGTATTAGAGCAGACAGCCTCCTTTTTTACCCTGAGGAATGGCTGGTGAGATGGAAGCTGCAATCTTGCCTTGAGCAGCCCAAGTCCTGGGCACTTAAAAGGAGGAACTCAACCAGATACTTGTACACCAGTGTTCACAGCACCGTGAGCCCCAGTAGCCCAAAGGTAGAGACAACCCAAGTGTCCATCAACAGATGAATGGAGAATAAAAGAAATCCTAAATTTGGCACATTTTCATTTGCTCAGTCATCTAAAATATAATAAATATATGTAAAGGTAAAAATAACGAAAACCCTACATGAATGGAGAGACAAAATGTGGTCCATGAGTATAGTTGAGCCACAGAGAGAAATGAAGTTCTGACCCATGCTGCACCATGAACACACTAGAAAACATGATGCTGAGTAAAATCAGTCCATCTCAGAGGGACCGATACTGTAAGATCCCACTTGGACAACCTATTCAGAGCAGTCAAATCTGTAGACAACATGGATGACCGAAGAGGAATCAATGCACTGGAACCGTGGTGTTGGAGAAGACTATTGAAAGTACCAGGGTCTGTTAAAAGGACAAACCAATCTATCTTGGAAGAAGTATGGCTAGAGTGCCCCTTGGAAGCAAGGATGTCTTGCACCCTTTGGACACAGGATTAGGAGAGACCAGCCCCTGGGGAAGGACATTCTGCTTAGTAAAGCGGAGGGACAGTGAGAAAGAGGAAGACCCCCAGTGAGATGGATGGTCACAGTGGTTATAACAATGGGCTCTGTGTTAGTCCGGGTTGACCAGAGACACAAATCCAGAGACTCTCATAAAGATCTTTATATAAAGGGTAATTGTACATTAAGAAAACAGCCCAGCCCAGCCCAGATCAAGTCCAATATTAGCCCATATGTCCAGTATCAGTCTGTAAATTCCTCTTCAGACTCTCGCAACACATGCAATGACGCCAAATTCTGGAAGATCACAGGCCAGTGGGTTGAAAGTCTTGTGGATTCAGTGGCAGTGGAAGCATCTCAGCACTGGTGTGGGTCTCCACGTGACTTCTCCAGCTCCAAGGCTCTGGCTGCCATCAGCATAGCTCCATGTGGCTTGTCAACAGGAATGTCTCACAGGGAGTGTGTCGGTGTCCCGCCTCCAGTGAGCTATTTATCTCCTTCGCACCTTCAAATGAGGTCATCAAGCTGCGACCTGATTGACAGGCTACAATCTGCCTCTTCACTCTTAATAGTCTCAAGTTGATAACAGATGATGTAACCACGACAGGCTCATGCACAGGAATGTGATGCAGGACTGTGGGGCGTTCCACTCTGTTGTGCAGAGGGTCACCATGGGGAGGAACCCACTCAATGGCACCCAACATCAACACAGAGACCGGAGCTTATTAAATGTGACCAGGGAGTAAGCATGGGAGGTTATTACTTTAAATTCTACAAAAAGTCAGGGAGGGAGGGAAAAAAATGAGGAGCTGATACCAAGGGCTCAAATAGAAATGTTTCAAAAGTGATGGTGGCAACATAGGAACAAATATGCTTGACACAATGGATGGATGGATTGTGATAAAAGCTACAAGAGCCCCCAGTAAAATGATCTTTTAAAAATGGAAACAACTAACTGACAGCAATGATAGATGTATAACCCCCACCCCCTAGGGGGATGAATAACAGAAACGTGGGTGAAGGGATACAGCGGATGGTGTAATATATTAATTCATATTGAAAGATGAATACATATTGCAATGTGAATATATATATATATATATATATATATATATATAAAGGGTTCACGAGGGGTGGGAGAGGGAAAAAAGAGAAGCTGATAATAAGGGCTCAAGTAGAAAGATAATATTTGAAAATGACGATGGCAACATATGTACAAGTTTGCTTAATATAATTGATTTATGGATTGTTATAATATCTGTAAGAGTCCCCAATAACATGAATATATATATATAGACACACACACAAAGACACAACTGATAGATAAGGTAAGGCTAAGTTCTCTAGGGAAAGAACACTAGTGATGCTTATATTTGTGTACGCAGAAATTCATATTAGGAAAAGGCTCGCGCAGCTGTAGAAGTGGGTAAGTCTAGTCTGGTTTTCAAGCCAGTGGGTCTGGTGTTACTCTGGACTTTCTTAGTTTTGGGGGCTACAGGAACCCCTTAGGCTGCTGAGGGGGTGATTCCAAGATCGGTCAGAAGGCAGGTCGATGATGACTCCCTGAATCTACAGGCAATATGGCAGGCCAACCGACAGTCCACAGAACCATTGGTCCATGAGCCAGATGCAGGATCCAGACTCAGCAAAGGGCAAACAAGGTTTTCCACAAGGTCCACTTTTGTAGGAAGTAGGCCACGTGACCCCCCAGGAAACCACCTTCCAATTGAATCAGGGCTATGACCTGAGTAAGGGGGTTTTACTCCACCTTCATCTTACACCTCCTTTGGCTGCTCACAGAAGATCCCCCTCATGGAGTGGATTACGTTGTTAGATCAGAACAGGGGGGAGGCTTCAACGGCCAAACCACCGAGCCAACTCGACACACACAACATGTTTCTACAACCGATGAATGAGAAATATTGTCCAGGAAACTGTCCAACTCTGCACAGTTGTGTGATAGGCATATTTACCACAAAGACGGAGAGGGAGAGGGAGAAGCTGTTGAGGCTATTTTTGTGTGACCAAGCCCCTCATGGGATCTGGGACCTTGGTGTGGAGGGCTAGGGACATGGTATCGTGGGACATCCCACTTCATTGACTTGGTGATGTGTTGAGTCCTGCTGCGCCACCTCCTAGTGTCTGGGGTCTTGAACGCATGCAAGGGGCCATCCGAGGCCCCGATGACCTCTACCCCCGGGAGCGGCAGAGGGAGGAGGAGAGTGAGGGATAGGAAGAGGATAGAGACCCGGCAGCAAATGGCCTCCATGAACCACGGTCTCCGGGATGGGTGCCCAGCTGCCGCTACCGAATCATTTGATCAAAGATAAGACAGAGCAGTGGTTCCCAACCTTCCTAGTGCTGTGACCCTTTCAGACAGTTCCTCATGTTGTTGGGGACCCCCAGTCCCAACCATAAAATTATTTCCGTGGCAGCTTCATCACGGCCCCGTGATGAATCGGCGACCCCTGTGAAAGGGTCGTTCGATGCCCCCAAGGGGTCGCGACCCACAGGTTGAGAACCGCTGTAGAAGGATTTCCCCCATCAAAAGGCGGGTGGTGGTGGCAGGGTGGGGGGTGGAAGGCGAAACAAAATCTCAAAATGCTCAGGGGCTCCAGACTTTCTTTAGCAAAAAATAAATAAAAATCCCCCGAGGCATGCTGGACACCTAACGCTAGTTAAGCGGAACCAGCGAAAAAGACACGAAAAGGCCGGCCTTGCACATGGCGTTCTCCAGCTCTGTGGCCGCGGCGACTTGACAGAGTGGACAGCACACTGCGGGGACGGCGAGCTTCCTTCCCGGGCGCGGAGACGAAGCCAGAAGGTGGCGCCACTCGGAGGACGTCGCGAGGGTCACGCTCGAGGGTCACGCTCGAGGGTCACGCTCCAGCGTCCTGGGGGGTCTGTGGCACGCGTGCGAGCCTGGGCGCCGTGCTCTCAACAAAGGTCGTTTTATCAAAGGAGATTAGAGAAATTCGTTCCGATTTGCGTTTGCTGCCCCGCAGGTCGCAGTTGGAGCCCGCCGAGGAGAGCGGTCAGGCGGACATCGCGCTTGCAGGTAAGGGCGCCCCCTCCGCTGCCCCGGAAGTGAACCCTGCTGCTGCGGGCGTCTGCCCCCTAGCGGCTCAGGCTGCTCTCCCCGCTCTGCCCCGCAGAGAAGCCCAGCATCACCATCCGGACCATCTTCAGTATCATCTCCACCACCGTCAACCAGAGAGAGTCCTCCAAGGCCAGCCATACACTGGGGACCGTCGGGGACCACTGGGCCTTGGGATCCCCTGTCTGAGGGAGGAGGGCTGGGGGTCAGGACCCCTAGGTCTGAGGGAGGAGGCCTCAGGGTTAGGGCTCCCGGGTCTTGGCGGGTCTGGGGGTCAGGACTTCTGGTATCTGCAGAGCTGGGGCTCCGGATCTCAGAGCCTGTGAGACAATGGGCTGGTGCTAATCCCTATTCTCTCCTCCCTCTTACCCACCACTGCCTCTGACTCTTACCACTCTTGTCCCCTGTCTACTCACAGGGCCACTCCTCTGAGCCCGGCGAGGTGACCCTCTGTGTGACCCCTCCACGCTGTATCTCGCAGCACAGCCCTGCCTTCTCCTCGGTGGTGGCCTATGACCAGTTGGAGCAGATCCTGTTGAAGCAGGACATAGAAGACCTCATGGACACCCAGTCCTCCACGCTGACATCCTCCTTCTCCCCGAACATCCACCCCACTGCCTTCTACCACTCCACGCCATACCCCTCCATTCTTCGGCACAAAGTCAAGGCCCGGCCACCAGCCTCTCAGAAGGCCCAATCAATCCCTGTCACATCTGGGAAGACTCCATTCATTTCTGACCGTTCCCAGAAGGTCAAAACTGTACGTCCCACATCCCAGAAAGCTGCAGCTAGACCTGCTGTTCCCAAAAGGGCTAGCCTTGCCCCATCCCAGAAGGTCCCAGCGGCAGCTGCCCTCTCTCAGAAGGCCCCCCGTGTTCCTGTCCCATCCAAGAAGTTTCCCCCCCACCCTGTCCTTGCCCCATCTCACAAGACTCCAGTTGCTTCTGTCACAGCCCAGAAGGCTCGTCCTCTTTCCGTTCCATCCCACAAGTCCCCCCGTATTCCTGTCCCCTCACGCAAGGTCCCATCTGTCACTGACCCCTCCCAGAAGGCCCCTCGTGTTCCCGTCCCATCCAAGAAGTTCCCCCCTGTCCCTGTTCATGCCCCATCCCACAAGACACCCGTTGCTTCTGACACAGCCCAGAAGGCCCCCCATATTCTTGTCCCCTCAGGAAAGGTCCCATCTGTCACCGACCCCTCTCACAAAGTCCCACTTGTTCCCGTTTCATCCCCAAAGGGCCCTACTCTCCCTCTTTTGTATCAGAAGGCTCCCCGTGGCCCTGTCCGAACCCAAAAGGCCCGTCGGATCCCACGCCAGAAGGTCCCTCCTGTCCAATCCCAGAAGGCCCCTCCTAGTCTATCCCAGAAGGTTCCCCCCGTCCCTGTCATTCCCCCAAAGGCCACCCCCCCGAGGGCCCCAACCCGGAAGACTTTCTTCCTGCCTACCTTATCCCAGAAGGCGCTGAGCTCGCCCGCCCAGTACCAGGGAGGCTTCAGCTCCCCTCCCTCACTGGAAAAGATCCCTGCTGAGCCCAGCTTGTGGCTGGCAGGAAGTCACAGTGGAGACCAGCCGGAGGGGCGTCGGCCTAAAGCGAGACCCCTGCCCCCGGTGACGGTGAGTACCCAGAAGAAGGACGTGGTTGAGCGGAGGACCCAGGAGAGGTCCCTGGAGCTGCCCTTCAGCACGACCAAGAGGACGTCGGAGGAGGTCCTGGTGAGCCGGACCCGGGAGATGACCATCGAGGAGTTGAAGGGCACGGGGAAGTCGGAGGAGAGGGTCATCAAGAAGAAGGAGGAGACCACCGTGGATCTGCCAGGCCTCAAGTCCAAGGGGACGGAGCAGAGGAAGATGTGGGTGCAGACCACGGAGCTGAGCCTACAGGGGCCCCCAGCGGACCACAACAGGCCCCTCTCGGTGGAGGGCCTGGCCCTGGCCAAGCTGATGATCATGGCTAGATCCCAGGAGCAGCATTCGAGACCCGCCGTCCTGACACTGCCCTCCTGGCTCTCCATCAACGCCGAGAAGCCCCCTGTGCCTCGGGTGGCCTCCATGTCCCCCAAGTGCAGCCAGTTGTCTTGGCTGGAGGGGTCCCCGGTGGTGGTCAGGGAGCAGCCGGAGCCCGTCTCCTGGGTGGAACAGAGTTTGCAGCACCGGGTGGGGATGGAGGAGTCTCGCTGGAGCCCAGA